TTGAAGTCTGATTTCTACTCAATCTTTCTCATCTTTCAAAAGTTGGTTGAAAATCAGCTTCAACAGAAAATTGGAACCTTTCACTGTGATGGTGGGGGTGAATTCACTAGTAAACGATTCATTAGTCACCTTCAAAGTTGTGGGATCAGACAAGTCATCTCTTGCCCTCACACACCACAACAGAATGGTCTTGCTGAAAGAAAGCATAGACACATTACAGAGTTGGGTCTCTCAATGTTGTTTCAGAGTAAACTACCACACAAATACTGGGTTGAAGCATTTTTTACAGCAAATTTCTTGGCTAACTTGCTTCCTCATACGGTTTTTGCTAATCCAAAGAGTCCCTATGAGCTTCTTTTTGGTAAACCACCAGTATATTCTTCACTTCGTGTCTTTGGCAGTGCCTGTTATCCCACCTTAAGAGACTATGCTCAAAACAAGTTTGACCCTAAGGCACTCCAATGTGTGTTCTTAGGGTATAATGAGAAGTACAAGGGCTATAGATGCTTGCTTCCAACCACTGGTCGTGTTTATATTAGTAGACATGTGATCTTCGATGAGTCTACTTTCCCTTTTGCCACAACTTTTTCTCACCTGCAAGAGCAACAAGCAACTCCGTTAATCTCTGCTTGGCAAAAGAGCTTTCTCTCGCAGTCAGCTCCAGTCACTGCTCCCTCAACTTCAGTCGAAGAGGATCCTCCAGCTTCCTCTCGACCTATGTTCACGGCTCAAGATTTCCCACCGTTACAGGCACCTTCCAGAGCTTCCTCAGTTCATACTCACACGGGTTTGTCACCTGTTGCTGCTACTACTCCAGGGGTTGGGTATTCTGAGTGTACGACAGACTTCGATTCTGCTTCTATAGGCAACAGTGCTCTAACTCCTGGTAGTGGGACAGCATCAACAGCGTCTCCTAGTTCATCGTACACCAATGGTCATGACTCAGCTTCTGCATCATCTTCCGACTCTGCTGTTCCGCAACAACATCAGATGATGACAAGGTCACGGTCAGGGATTTTTAAACCAAATCCGCGGTACATTTATCTGGCTCACAAAGTATCTTATCCCGAGCCAAAAACTGTCACTGAGGCTCTCAAGGATCCTGGTTGGACAGAAGCAATGAATGAAGAATACAGTAATTGTCAAGAGACAAATACTTGGTCTCTCGTTCCTCCAGTTCCAGGTGTGAACATCCTCGGTAGTAAATGGGTTTTTCGTACGAAGCTTAATGCTGATGGATCGCTAGACAAGCTAAAAGCTAGATTAGTGGCTCAAGGGTTCAACCAGGAAGAAGGAATCGATTACATTGAGACATATAGTCCAGTGGTCCGAACCGCAACTGTGAGGCTTATTCTTGATATCTCAACTGTAATGGGCTGGGAGATTAAACAGATGGATGTTAAAAACGCTTTCCTTCATGGAGATCTCACTGAGACAGTGTACATGAGACAACCTGCAGGTTTCATTGATAAAGATAAACCAGATCATATTTGCCACTTGCACAAGTCCCTTTATGGCCTAAAACAATCACCAAGGGCCTGGTTTGACAAGTTTAGCAACTTTCTTCTGCAGTTTGGCTTCTCTTGCAGTATTAAAGATCCTTCTCTATTCATCTATCAAAAGGGTGATGCTCTTATTCTGCTCCTGCTCTATGTTGATGACATGATCTTAACAGGAAATAACTCTGCAACTCTGCAAACTCTGCTTCTTGAGTTGAACTCTCAGTTTCGAATGAAGGATATGGGGAGAATGAGTTATTTCTTAGGGATACAAGCTCATCATCACTCTAATGGGATGTTCCTCTCCCAACAGAAGTACGCTGAAGACTTGCTCGCTGTTGCTGCTATGAGTAATTGCTCTTCTGTATCCACGCCTTTGCCACTGCAGTTAGACAAAGATTTAGATAATCAAGAACCGTTTTCAGAGCCGTCTTATTTTCGAAGTCTTGCAGGCAAGTTTCAATACTTGACTCTGACTCGTCCAGACATCCAGTTCGCGGTTAATCATGTCTGTCAGAAGATGCATGCTCCTTCTACGTCTGACTTCATTCACCTGAAACGGATTCTACGTTACATCAAAGGAACTATCTCTCTTGGTATTCATCTCACCAAACACTCGGATTTCAAGCTTAAAGCCTACAGCGACAGTGACTGGGCTGGATGTAAGGTAACCCGAAGATCCACAAGCGGTCTCTGCACGTTTCTTGGCTCAAATCTCATTTCTTGGTCGTCTAAAAAGCAGCCTACGGTATCTCGAAGCTCCACTGAAGCCGAATACAGGGCAATGTCTGAAGCTGCGTCTGAAGTAACTTGGATTGGCGATATTCTTAAAGAGATTGGTATCTCCATTCCCTCTGTGCCGGAGCTATACTGTGACAACCTCTCAGCTGTTAAGTTATCCGCCAATCCAAGCTTTCATGCTCGCACTAAACACTTCGAGCTGGATCATCACTATGTAAGAGAACAGGTTGCTCTCGGTTCTCTTCTGGTCTCTCATGTCTCCGCCACTGAGCAACTCGCTGATATCTTCACAAAGTCGTTGCCATATGCTGCATTTGCATCTTTGAGGTCCAAACTTGGTGTGGATGTTCCACCACCAGTTTCCACCACACCAAGTTTGCGGGGGGGTGTTAATCACGTGGGCCTAAATGCAACGAAGCCCACACACATTCCTTTGGGCCATGACACTACGAAGCCCAACTCAGCTGAAACCTCTCTCTCTTCTCAACGGTCTTCACCAACTGTACAAGGAGACAAATCTGTTGGAACAGAGAAGCAAAAACAGAGTACGGAGATGACGACACAAGTTTGGAATCGCTTTGATGTTTTGCAAAACCTTAAGTAAAAGACGAGAATGCCATAACAACTTAGGGTTTTCCTTTGTCTTGTATAAATAAGAAGAATGTGTAATTAGTGAAGTTAAGTTAAAATATAAGAAAACCAAGTTTCATCTTTCTCCTCTTTAGAGCTTTCAAGCTCATCTCTTTAATTCTGATATCAACTACTACACGTATATAATTGACATACACAATCAATTACGTATCCAAGTACGCTAAGATTTGTCTCTGTGTATATAGATTAAGTATTTCACGTATTACATTTTGTCCTCGGTTTACTTTGAATACAGTAGAGAAAAAAATACAAATTACAAAAAAAAAAACATAGAGAAAGTGGCAGGTGAAACCACTGAAAAGCAAGTATGTGGTTCACACATGATGTGATACGTACACGTTAATTAATTTGCAGCGAAGAAAATATAATAACGGAGCTATTCCTTTATAACTAGTTTAGTAAATTAGTCGTGTCAAAAGTTTTTTTTTTCTTGTCGGCAGTCGATTCAAAGTCAAATTGCTCCTTTGTCGACAACAATAAAATCCTCTCTCCTTTTTTTTTTAATATCATCTCTCTTTTTTTATGGGAGAGTATTTACACTTTTGTGCTAAAAACCAAAAACAATATCTAATTTGTTAGCGAAGGAGATTTTTAATTAGATCCGTAAGTTCTTAATTTATATCATGGTGTGAAAATACATCTAACTTATAACGATCAAATGATTAATATCATATTTGGTTTGTTTTCACAAATTTGCAACTTAGCACATAAGTTCTTTTTTAATTAATCCAAAAATTTAAACTATAATGTCATATTATAGCATTTATAGGCTTTGAAAGAAAGTAGCCGTTGGAAGTTGGAACTACAAAAATGAAAGGATACTACGGGTCTTTTGCGTCCTTAATTACGCCTCAAGAAAGAAAAGCCCATAGTCTCTTACAGCCCATGTCATTAGAGCATCATTATCGCAGTTTTTTACTACAGTTTTCTACCCAATTAATTAAAAAAAAATAAATCAAAAATAATGAATAGTAGAAAAATCGGTTCTTATTTGAGATCAAGAGGAACCGTTTCTTGTTGTTACGTGTCATGTTTGCATTGGTTAAAAAAAATAGTAGGATGAAATCTTCTCTTTCTTCTCTTCGACGAACCCATTTTCACACTAATTAAAGCCAGTGCTTCTCATCTACTGCTTCTTCTTCTTCTTCGTTTCTGCTTCTGATCTGCGTCTTCTTCTTTCTGCTTCTGTCTGCTTCTTCTTCTTCTTTTTGATTCTCATCTGCTTCTTCTTCTTCGTTCTGCTTTTTCTTCTCTTCGTTCTTACCATCCGATCACACCATTTCGTCTACTCTGCTTCTTCTTCAATTTTTTCTGCTTCTTCTACTTCTAAACGTTGGCTCTTCTCCTTCTTTCTGCTTCTTTTCTTTGTTTCTGCTCCTTCTCTACACATCTGTTTATTCATCTTAGCTTTCTTCTTTCTTTCATCTTGATTAAGAAAAAAAACAATTCTTAAGAAATTCATTAAGGGTTTTACCAATGTACAAGTAAAAACAATAGATTTCTTAAGCAGGTTTTTTAATCTATGTTTAATAATAAAAAACACTTAAGAAACTCATTAGAAGTTTCAGGGATAATGATGCTCTTAGTCGGTTAAAAAAATATTATGTTCTGTGTGTTTTGTGCGTGTGTATGCGCGCCCAAAATACTATGTTCTGTGTCTTTTGTATTTTTTCATCTTAAATGTCCACAACAACTGGATCAGTGGGAGAGTGAAGAAGCTTGGACGCCGAAAGATGAAATTACTGTGGAAATATGAAATCTTGAATATTATTGATTTAAAATTAGTAAAACGATTTTTTCGTAAAATTAAATTTTGTTTTTTCTTTAGTAAAAGGCGAAAGAGTAGTTCCTTTGTGTTCAACAAAAAAAAAAAAAGCTTTTTCTTCCCGTTTTGTTGTTTTATAAACAGTTTATACTAATGTCCCAAAAATTCTAAAAGTGAGACTAATCAAAGAGATCCAGATTTCTCAATTCCCTTTGATCATTGCTCAGAACTTGATGAGTAAACTAAACGAGTAACTATAATCAAAGTGCCAACGAATTTAAAACAATAAAAGCTACAATGAACCAATATTAGGACACTATATAATCAAAATATAAAACTGTAGATCAATGGATGCATGACGGAGGAAAGATATTGCCACGTGTCCAACCAGCAACATTCTCACACCAAGCAGTGGCTGGACCATCGGGTCCACGGTGCACTAGGTTAACTCCGAAGAGCTCAACGTCTGTGCAAGGAGCCATCTTGCTACATTGCAACTTCACGGCCACTTTGCTCGTCGAAGTCCCCCAGATGTTTTTGAACTTGACGTTCTGTATCTGAACTTGAGAATGAGACTGCATATTTTTATTTAACAAAAAATAAAATAAGAAATCAAATTCGATCATCTTAAAAATAAAAATAAAAAGCTAAAAGTTTGTTTCTTGATGAGGAAATTACCGTTTTGCGACACTGGTTGTTTGGACAGTATTGTTGATCAATGTTGATGGGGTTTTCGACATTGATCATCTGGAGGTTCTTGAAAAGAAAATTCGAAATTAAGTTCCGTGAAGCAGAAGGAGCCCATGTCTTGATCCGTACGCCATTAGTTGTACCTCTAAAGATGGAATCCCTAACGATTAAACCCTGAACGCTCTTCTCGTTTTTATACCTCCCAAGGCTTCCAACGCTGATCCCATGACCTGGTCCACACGTGACCCTGTAGATATCCAAATCGGTGGTTCCGGCCAAGATTGCGATGCAGTCGTCCCCTGTTCCGATGTCGACGTGGTGGATCTTCATGTGGTTCGATGAACCTATCTTGATCCCATCTGTGTTAGGACTATCTCCAGGAGCCCTAATGCTGACGCGTGAGACCTCAAAGTATTCGACAGCGAAGAAGTTGATGTGACCCATTTTGCTGTTGATCGATTTGATGCGGTTGATTCTCGAGAATCTCACGAACTGGAACCCAATGTTCATAGGTAGAGGCCGGCAATTAGGGTTTCTGCTGCAATCGTTGAGTCGCCAAGAGTAGCTTCCTTGTCCGTCAAGAGTGCCACCGCCTGAGACCGTGAGATAGTCAACATACTTGAAAATGATCCACGTGTCTTGTTTGATGGCGTTAGCTTCTTTAGGAGCTAACAAAGTTCCTTTGATGATGAAACTGATCCGGCTTTTACATGGTCCCGTGAAGGTCACACCACCGAGGTAAAAGGTTCCGAATGGTACGTACACACTAGGGTTTCCTTTCCATTGGCACGCTTCTTTCCACGCTTTTGTAAACGCCTAATTAAACACGAAATCAAGACAATCAAACCTAACAAAATGTTTATAGTTAATCAACAGTTTTGAAATATATTAATGTTGAATTATATAACTAGCCGGAAAATTAAACAAAAGGAGAAAATTTCAGTACAATAGCATTATCTGTTTTGCCGTCACTGCGAGCACCGTATTTTCGGACGTTGAAAATCTTTCTTCCGGCGAAAGAGGTAGACGCAGCGGCCGAAACGCCACTTGTTACGGCAGCGATGAACAAAATTAATGTAAAACCACAAACAGTGGAAGCCATATCTTTATTCTTCAGCTAGATATCTTTTGGTTTTGCTGGTTGAAATGTAAACAAATTGAAAGAGTTTTGATTACCTCTAATTAGTTTTTAAAGGACTTAGATGATAATGATAATATATCCCTGTGGTCAGTGGATCTCTAGATACTACTACAAGAATATCAGTAGTTTGATTATCGTTACCGATTTCTTGGCTAGATTTTATTTGTTTCTTAAATCATACAAACTAATTTTTTAAAGTAATCCTAAAATTTAATTTGTTTCTTTAACTGAACTTACCAATGGATTTCTTTTTAATTGCTTCTAATGATTCTTCACTATAATGAGTTCTTTTGTATTTTCCTTTAAAACATAATATTAGTATATATGGTAAATCTGTTCCAATCTGGGTCGATTAATTGTGGTTCAAAATTAACAATAGATTCTTTCTGAATAAATATTCAATTTCTTGCAATAGTTTTTAATATATCGTCATAGTAATTTATTGATTAGTTTCCTTAATCTGATCCCATATATTCATCCTATGATTTAGGTTTTTAATAGGAAAGAAAATTTTTAAAAAAGGAATATAATCTGTGTCAGTTTCAATTTTGTGTGGCTATGGATTGAATACACGTAATTAGAGACATCGCAAAAGTACAACCGTACGACGGTAAGTAATTTGCAATCTGTGAAAAAGAATTTGGGGAATGAATATGCGTCAAAAAACCAAAAAAGGAGCAATGAATGGGAGGATAGTCCCCAGAAAAATTCTTGGATTCACCCTTAGTGTGAATCTCGTTATTTACCCCCTTTTATTATAACCAATCAAAATATGTCAGTGAATTAAAAAAATAAAAATAAAAACAAAATAGAAAAACGAATTAATAATAAAAAATCAAAATTTAATTTTTAAATTTTAAACCATAATCCCGATACCCTAAGCCATAATATATAAATTAAAAAAGAAACTAACTCTAACTCCTAAACCCAAATATTTATTTTTTAAAAAAAATTAGAAATAAAAAATAAACCCTAAACCTTAAACCAAATATTAAATTTTTAAAAAAATTAAAAAATAAAAACTAAATCCTAAACCCTAATCTCTAAACCCAAATATTAATTTTAATAATATATATTTGGATTTAGGATTTAGGGTTTAAGGTTTAATGTTTATTTTTATTATTAAAATTAATGTTTGGGTTTAGAGATTAGGGTTTAGGATTTAGGCTTTATTTTTTAATTTTTTTAAAATTTAATATTATGCTTGAGTTCACTATTTTAATTTAGGGTTTAATTTTTTCATATTAGAAAAGAAAAAATTAAATGTATTATTTTGATAAATTACTTTAATTAGTTTTATTATTTAGCTGATTTTTATTGGTTTAAATAAGAAAGAGTAAATAAAAGAATAATTTTAATAACTAAATCAAATTATTTCATTTGAATAATATTAAATTTTTAATTATGTGATAAAAAGTAAACTTATCTTAATTATTTTATGAAAATAATATTTATTTATTTTAAATTTTAAATGACATATTTTGATTGGTTAAAAAATAAGGGGGTAAATTAAGAGGTTCACAATTGTTCCTTAAACTTTCATTGAAACATCGTATGTTACTATCCTTGACTTCTTGTTACAAAAAAAAACTATCCTTTGACTTCTTGCATCATTTTGGAATTTCGAATCTCTGTTACTGTAGATAATAATCTCTGAAAGTATGATTAAGTTAACTAATCATTTCTAATTTTCTATCAAGTTACGAGTTCATAAAATTCATGATGCATATAAGTACAAATATACCTCATAACTGTTTGAATCTATTGGATTCCATAAATTTTATATGTATATTTACCTCATAAAATTATGTTTCATATATTTTTTCTTGTTTCGAAACGGGGAAACATGGATATATATATATATATAAATAGTATCATTGAGATTTGAGACACATGATTTATTTATTTTTATCACTTCCGAAAGGCATTACCTTAATATTTTCTAGAAGCCTAATGGGAGAAGATGTTATTTTGTTATTACGACAATAGTATTTAAGACGTGTAAATTCTACTACACGTGCAAATACTTTCTAAGTTTTCTGTAATTTTTTTTCCTAGCCTGGTTTGACGTGATGTGATGCCATTTTATCAAAGAAGGTGTGCTTTGACCCGACAAAAAGAAAATATATTATGATTTTGGTTAAATTTGATATTTAGAGAGTAATGGTGATATAAAAAATATTATGTCTGGTCCTTCAAGGCTGCTGGATTTTTTGTTAACGGTCAACCTGATCAGATATATATGCATATTTGGACTTGGAAGCCACGTGATAATGATTGATCTCAGTAAGTGTAGAATAATTTTGGAACAATTAGTTTAGTTTTTGACTGATTCACAATAAAAGAAGTTTGTGAAAGTCTTAATAGAATCAATAGAAAGCATGGATAGAAAACGTGTGCATGTCGGATGGACATGCGAATTTAAAAACTTGTGAATATCCAAAACAGTTTACCACAAATTAATATATTAAAAATAATATTTCCATCCACATACAAAATGAATTAACATAACACTTTGAAATACTGTATTGGTCTTGATATTAATGATTTATATATAAAATTTCCAAATATAGTACCACTAATTAATTCAAACTCATAATAACTTAAAACTCATTTTTAGAGGGAAAATCTAAACCCTAATTTGTAAATGGGAACCCAAAACATAATGATTTAATTTAATTTGTATTTTGTTTGAGAATAAATAAATGTTTTATACACAATAATTTCTACGATAAAACGCTGGTCGTCGGAAAATTGTATATGTCGTCACAAAAAGGTAAAAAACAGGTCGTCATCTCATGTAGGGACCAGATAATAAAACTGTTTTGAAAAATAATTACTTAATTGACCCACTTCAGTGCCTTGCAAAGTTTAAAATCATATGATTATATCACATCTCTTTCTCTCTCTATATATATGCAGACACACAAGTAGGCATATAAAATTACAAACATCTGGGAGAGCTAAAAACTGCTTACTAAGATTATTGTTCATCATCAACATCAACACTAAAGAAATCTCAGATTTTGTTTCTTTTCTTTTCTTAACTTGATAAATATAATAATGTCTGGAAGAAGGGAAGTGAAATCGGAGCCGATGAAAGTTGTGTTCATAAACACACAATACGTTGAGACAGATGCTCGTAGCTTCAAGACTGTTGTTCAAGAACTCACCGGCAAGGATGCCATAGTCGCGGCAGGTCCTTTTGAGTCTCCCACTGCTTCCGACGATCGTTGTTACGGCGGAGGTAGTAAAATCGGCGAAGATACCAGACGGCTCTACGGCGGCGGCGGCGGCGGCGGAGGAGGAGTGGGGACTACGACGGAGTTTGATAGATTTTTCAAGGAGATGCCTCCCATGGAGGAATTGTATAAACTATGGTCAGAAAATTGAGTCATTATATTCTTCTTTTTTCTCCTCAAAATCAAATATTTCTTTCTTTTCGTCCACTAAGAAGATATTGTTGCGATTCATTTGATTAGTCATCTCTTAAATGGATCGTCGTGGGTTTGAGGTTAGGTCCAATTGCGAAAACTACATGTTGGAAAGTCTGATATGATTTTCATTATAGTAGTATACTGCGCCCCAATTCTCCGTATTTGGAACGGGCTTCAAGCTTACATATGTTTTTTTCTGGCCCATGAAGCCCAAAGAATTACTTTTGTCAATGTGCTGAAATGAAATTTCTAAACTTTGGGATTTTAAGTAAATGCGAATTATTTTGTCTACACTGTAGTTACATTCTTTGTTTCTCTCTTCATATTTGGATTCCTATCTAATGATCCAGGACGTAATCCTGGATCTGAAGAATAAAAAAGAAATATTTTTTTTATTACTTTAGTTAATTATATGAAATATGTATAGAAACCTAAAAGAAATCAATTTTAGAAAGCTGGTACCATAATATTCGTTGGAAAAGTTTTCAAAATTTTTAAATCCAATATGTTGATAGTTCACAACAACCAAATCAAGCATTATGTGAACTAATCTTTTTGTGTAAGTGCGTAACTGGCTGAGATCAATAGCAACAAAACCCATGGTTGACCTTCTCTAACCAACCTTAACCAATTTTGAGTTGGGTGAACCATTTCTTTTCCATCAACCCAAAAACACGATTTTGTCTTTTTTTTTATTTGTAATCAGCGGGTCGATTCAACGATTATTAAAAAATTTATACGTTAACATAAGATATAATGTTTTAAAGCCTACAGAATCCCGTAAGCAGTATCGTCGTCGTCATGAAGAACATTTTTAATTAAACCAAACGTAATATTAACGCCGACTAATCTGGTTCAAAATTATCACCAAATTTGAGCAATAAATACCCCAAAGATAATAACTCTTTCCTTTTTTTCTGTTCCACTATTAAATTCGAAAATAACGAATATCTTATGGAATGCGACAAACAAACATACAATCAAACTAATTAAGAAATGTATAAAAGAGAAAGACATATATCATGCTGACCCAACTCGGTGCTTAAGACAAAACCGCCTTCACAAGATTTCGTATATTCTAATCCTTTTTTGGTCAACAAACCAAAAACTGAACGCAACGACACCGTTTGAGAGATACTGAACATCACGCGCGAGGAAAGAAGCGCGTGATGGAAACAAGAAGAGGATTCTTTGCCTCGTCTCTTACTCCATCGTTTCCTGTTCCTTTTTGCTTCTCCTCCACCTCATCATCATCTCTCCTCTCTCTCTCTCTCTCTCGTGATTTTCCGTCAATATATTTTTTTTTAAAATTCCCGTGAAAAAGAATAGAGAGGAACAAAAAAAGCAAGAAAATACAAATTTCAGATACAGAACTTCTTCTAATCTTCTGTTTTTTTTTTCCTCTGAATTTTATATAATACGAACAGACACACACAAACACTGTATCTTTGCTTTTATATCTTCTCTCTCTCTCTACAGAGTAAAGTTCTGATCGTGTCTCTTATCGTTTACCCAAACCCATCTTGATCTCGTTTCTTGTTTTCTTCTGCCGTCGAGATTTGTTCCTCGAAGTTTTCAGGTTTCCTTCTCCGATTTTATCATCATTTCCGTACTTCTTCATCCTTGCTTTTTACAGAATTTGTAGGGTTTCTACCATTTTTGTTTGTTTCTCTTCTGTTTAAATTCGTGGAATTATCTGAAAGTGAGTACTGTTGATTGGGTATTAAATGAATGATATAATCCGTCCCCAAATTAAAAAGTTCCAAAGTTAGGATTTTTATGTCTGTTATTTTGAAACGGCTGGAAAAAATTAGGGTTTTACCCGAATTGTGTGCTGAAATTGAATTCACGTTTGCGCAGGTTGGACATCTTTCTTATGGTGGAGAATGATTGTCCCCAGTTTTTGAAGCATGTGCCTTTAGATTAGCAATTAGAGGCTATCCTTGTTTCCCCAAGAGGGGATTGTAGAAAGAAATTTGTTTTAAGCTGTTAGTTAATGTGATTAGTAACATAATCTCTGCTTTTAAGAAGGTAGGAGAATAGGGATTTTAGTAGGAGAAGGATAGTGAAAAAAGATTACAACTTTGTGAGATGGGTAATTATCTGGGAAGGAAGAGGCAAGTGGTGGAAGAAAGGTACACAAAGCCACAAGGTTTGTATGTGAATAAAGATGTCGACGTTAAAAAGCTTAGGAAACTGATTGTAGAGTCAAAGCTTGCTCCTTGCTACCCTGGGGACGACGAAAGCTGCCACGATCTTGAAGAATGCCCAATTTGCTTTCTGGTTTGTTAATTTTCTCAGTCTCTTGAAGAATGCCTAACAATGCCGCGTTTCTCGTTTGTAGATCTAACTCCACGATATTTGTTCTTGTGTTTCCTAGTACTATCCTAGCCTCAATAGATCAAGATGTTGCATGAAAAGCATTTGTACAGGTAACATATTCATCAGCTTTTTAGCCTCTTTATTCTATTCATGTTTCTATTTCATTTGACATGGCAATCCTTCTTTCTTTCTTTTTTTTCAGAGTGTTTTTTGCAAATGAAGAATCCTAATTCAGCCCGGCCTACTCAGTATCCTTAATCATAATCCTGTGCATTGACTTGTCTTATTGATTTGATGGAACTTTTCTTTTTAGTATGTCCTCCTTAACATGATGAGGTGCCCCTTTTGTAAAACACCCAATTATGCTGTCGAGTACCGTGGAGTAAAGACAAAGGAGGAAAAGGGCATTGAACAAGTTGTAAGACAGAAATAATTTTTGACAGTATCTTTTCTCGTAAAGCTTGATGGTATTGCTTTGTTCATATGTAATACTGTACTCCGTTTCTGTTTTTTTTTTTTTTTTTTTGGTAGGAAGAGCAACGGGTTATAGAAGCCAAAATAAGGATGAGGCAGAAAGAAATGCAGGATGATGAAGAGAAAATGCAGAAACGTATGGAATCATGTTCCTCTAGCACAAGCGCATTGACTGGTCAAATGGAATACGGTTCAGCTTCAGGTCGGTTTTTGTTCTTCTAGAACGTGTTAAATCTTTCAGTCAGAAACAAATTAAACAAATGGTATCACAAAGACGGTTCTAACAGGCTTCGTTTTCTTGTCCCTTGCTTTGCAGCTATTTCTTATAATTCTTTTATGGAAGACGCGGATGTTGCTCCATCGCAGAACGCGTCAGTTGTTAGACAGCGTTCCCGACCTCGAGGAAACAGGTCTGTCTTTCCTTTGGCTGCTCTGATTAGTTGTAAGCATGAAATTTCTATATCACGTGTGAAATACTGCAGTGTTATTAGACTTAGTCTTGTTTTAGGGACTAAGATCTTTGGATACGGTTTTACATATGGAAGTTGTGAGTTAAAGTTTGTTATGCCTCCATGTTTTCAACTACTATAATGTCATTTTCACAAATATCATTCTTTAGCTAAATGCACTTGACGAAACTTTGATCCGAGTGATTCAATATTAGACTGCTTTATATATCTATATGTGTGTGTGATTTGTCTGGAAACTCTTTAGGGATGATGAGGTTGATGTTGACCTTGAAGAGTTAATGGTCATGGAAGCAATATGGCTCTCAGTCCAGGTAAAATTTTATATTTAGTTAATTGTGTAACTTTGTATTTATGGTGACAATTTTATCAATTCTCATGGCTTTTTCACCTTTTTTTTTTTCTCTAAACAGGAAACAGGGATGCAGAGAAATTCAGCTTGTGGGGAGATGACACCATCTAGGCAGTACGTATCAGAACATCATTACGTTAATTCGCCACCTCGAGTGGCTCCAGTTATAGAACCAGAAACAGCATCTTCATCATCTGATGGGCTTGCTTGTGCAATCGCCGCACTTGCTGAACGACAACAAATGGTTGGCGAATCCTCCAGTCACAATCACAATCAAAACCACAACGTCAACGTTTCTCCATACAGCATGCTTCCCGGAAATTGCGACAGTTACTACAACATAGAACAAGAAATAGATGACATTGACAACCATCATCATCATCATCATCAGCATTACAATAACAACACCGAGATGGGAGAAACAGGGAGCAATAGCTATGTAAGCTCTTACATGAACGGCGAGAGCTTCCACAACTTTCCTCCTCCTCCTCCTCCTCCTCTGGTCATTGTTCCAGAGAGTTTTGAGGAGCAGATGATGATGGCTATGGCTGTGTCTTTAGCAGAGGTTCATGCCACGACCACAAGTGCACCAACTGAAGTTACTTGGCAATAAATAGGGTAATAATGGAAACTCATGGGTCTGAATATGAAAATGAATATGAATCTGAATCTGATGATATTTTTACTTCATTCATATAATGTACGTTCCTATAGGAAGAAAGAAAAAAAACAGAATCTCCAGTTTTTAATAGAAAAAGTTGTGCTGTGTTTAGGCTTCTTATGTTATATCTCTATGGTTCCTCTTTTCGATCTTCGTAGACAAATAGTGAAGAAGATCACATGTTGTTTGTCTCTTTGATAGTCAATGAATGAGAACGAGAAGTCAAAGTTGGAGAGTGTTGACCAAAATAGTGCTAAGGGTTTTAACCTTTTAGAGTTTACCTTTCTTCTCATTATGTATCTAAAGTCGTTTTTTTGGTGGTCAACATAATTTTGTCTCGAGTCTTTATGGGCTCGTTTAAGATGAAAACTGTAAAGATAATCAATGGATTATGATTAATGTCTAGCAACTAACCAATTTCTTAACATTTAATATCTCGATTCGAGCAACTCATTTTTGTGTTAAGTTCTTTTAATTGTTTATTTGTTCTTTGGTATTTTTATTCGAAACGGGAACAGTTGGGTCTTCAATTTCAATATCAATACTCCCAAAAATCAGTTACTTGAATTATTACCAACATCATCATAAAAAAAGAAAAAGCTAAAGTTGGTTGTTACTCGTACTTGGTACTTACAATCATAAATCATAGTGGCACAGCACTTAATGATTATTTAACACACAATAACTACAATATACTCTCTCTGTTCCTTAAATAAAATTTTCTAAAGTTTCTACACAGATTAAGATTAATATTTAGCAATGAATATATAGTTTTCTCACTTTACACACTTTTCCATAAAATATAAACCAATAATAATCCAATAATTTAAATATTTGCAACTAATATTTCATAAACAATACAATTTGTTAATAAAAATGCATACAAAATCTAAAAAAAGTTATGGAACAAAAAAAAGACCTAGAAAATTAATCTACTAGAAACATAGTGAGTATATACAGCTAGTAAATATTTATGGTTCTCTCTTAAGATAGATTCACATGTAACATGTGTTTGTTGCCAGTGGCTCTTTGCCTTTTTGGTATTACACACACCTTCTTCTTCTTTTTTGTCGTCAAATGTCAATTTGAACGAGCACACACACATGACACACCTAAACGGAAAAAAACTGATTAGAATATAACATTTCATGGGTTTTAAAAACATTATTTATGATTACTTCTTCTTATCGCCTACAACTAACTTCTGCATATTACCGAACGTTAATCTGAAATATGACACTAGTTATTAAATTAAGATTTTGGTTTATTATGGATTTTTAACACAAATTTGAATGTACATTATTTTATTTTTTAAATATTTGATTATGGTGACTGGTGTTATATGATCAGTACCGTAAGAAGGTTTATAAGGGTTTAAGGCAAACTTAAAAATTGGGGCTTTTTCCGTTAAAAAAAAATAGAAATTTTTAACAAAAAATATAATATAATTTAAAATCATATAAAATATTCAAAAATAAAATCTTAATCTAAAAAAACTAATTAAAACATAATTTTTCTTCCTTCTTTTTCAATAAACTCTTTCACCAAATTCTTATAATCGAAGTCCCTAACTAGTTCTCTTTCTATAGATATGATAGCTAGGTCATTCAATTTTAAATCTATTTCTTTTTTTTCTCGTTTTATAAACAAAAATAAAAAAACATCTTATGTAAAAAAAAACTCACACCAACTTTAAACCACTTAATCACCTCTTAAGAAAATGGGGGTCCTAAAAAATTTACATATATTGGGGACTTGAGGCGAAAGCTTTTTTCACTACATGGTAAGTACGGTTCTGTATATGATATATTCCAAAATGAAAGAAAACGTTGGAATGTAAATATTACAAAAGAAAAAGAAAGATGGGAAACTTAAAAAAAGAGTTTGAACTTTGTGGATCCGACAAAAAGAAACAAACGATGTCAGACCTATAACTGGGTACACACATGTGTGTATTTACAAAAAACACACTATATGTTGCTTCACATGTATCAACATAGACATACAAAATACGAATGTAATAGAAAAAAATAATATAAGATTGTTTCAAATTAAGTTCTTATGATTAAGAACCTAAAAACATGTTAAAGTTTGACAGATTATTAATCGCTATTACATATGTATGTATTTACATGTCATCTTTGTGTCAGTCAAATCATGCAAAGATGCAAAATCTGAATGTAATAACTAGATAAGTAAATTAACCCTTTTTCTCCAAAAAAAGTATAAGGTAAACAAAAATTATGATTAACTACGGTGTAAAATTACACTTTTGTCCTATTCTTATCTTTCTCCTTTCACCAGCTTTATTTCAAATGTTCAAACGTCTCTATTATTCTTGGATTGGGAGAAGTGCCTCGAAATAATTCTCTCTCTATCTCTCTCTCTCTCTCTCTCTCTCTGTTTCTCATTCTCACTCTCACAACAATAACAACAAAAGCTACGACCGTTCTCTTTTCCTCCACGTTTTGGGGTTTTCTTGTCTTTGTGCTCTTGTTCTTATTAACATTTTTAATCACACCAGGAAATTCAAAATATTTCCTCTCTTTTTTGCTTGTTATTTAGTTACTTATGTAGACTTATCCTAATCACTCCCTCGTATTCAATTGCAAAGAAGAAACCGAGAAAGCAGTCAGATTTCTACATTATTCCCATCTCCTTTACAGGTTAGTTTCAATATTTAGACACTATCGCTGTATTTTGCAGTGGATGAGAAAGCGGAACATAGAAACTTCTCCTCAGTGAGAAAGAGAAATCTGATTTTAAGTACTCTCCGGTTAATGGGTTTTTTCTGGTCTGGTGAAAGATTGAAGATTTGTCTCTTGAATCTTCTAATGCGTTTGAGTTAAAGAAAAAGTGAATTTTTTTATTTTTTAATAATAAGGTGTGCTTCTCTCTGTTTGATTCCCATTGTGAAATTTGGTTTTAAGAGATCAAGTAGTCACTCGCACTTAGAGGCGCTTGGCACATATGTATTTATTTTTCTCTCTTTGTATATGTGAGTCATGCGTCCGAGTAATTAAAGCTCTGCTTTATTATTCACCAGATCAGTAACCTTGGAGACTCAACAACTTGAAAACAAGAATGCCAAAACCAAGGTAACTATAATCCTCCAAATTTTTTTTATTATTTGGAATTATTGTTGTTAGTTTCTATGTGATCTGGCATGATGAGTATAAATTGGCAACATTTTGTATCTTCTTCTTATGATCTGAGAAGTATTAGAGGTGGTTCAGAGTTGCCTCAGAGGCAATCTCCAAGGCTGAGGTTACCATCATCCACTTCCTCTGATCCGCATCACTTCCACCGTCCGATTACAGACCGGAGTCCGAGGCTCGGCCCTGACCGTAGATCTCCGAGGAGCGGCGGGCCTCACAGTGATCCACTGACTCAGAAGAAGCTTGGCAGCCGCATCTCTGGTTTGGAGTCACAGCTAGGACAAGCTCAAGAAGAGTTGAGATTGCTCAAAGAGCAGTTGGCTAAAGCTGAGGCTGCCAAGAAACGTGCTCAAGAAGAGCTTCATAAGAAGAAACCCAAGCAACCGAAACCGAGTGAGAGAGACGATGTTCCTGGAGATGGACATCAAGAGACCGATGTGTTTGAGGTTCTTCCTGTCGAGAAAGCAAAAGAATGTGAGAAGACGAAGAAAGATGAATTGGCTTCAAAGGAAGACCAGATCAACTTATTGAAAGCTAGACTATACGACATGGAGAAAGAAAGGGCATCACTTGGTAACGAAAACGAGAGCTTGAGGAATCAGCTGAAGAAGACGGATTCAGAAATGTCCAGCGTAAAGGCGAAAGAGGATGAGATAGCTTCAAAGGTGAATCAGATTGGGGAAGAGTTGGAAGAAAGCAACGAGGAAACGGCAAAGCTAAAGAAGAAGCTGGAATCCGTGGAAGAAGCAAAAGAGAGTTTAGAAACAGAGATGAAGAAGCTAAAGGTCCTAACCGAGCAATGGAGGAAAGCAGCAGATGCTGCAGCTGCGGTTCTATCTGGAGGAGTTGAGATGAATAGTCGGTTCTCAGAGCGTTGCGGGTCAATGGAAAAGCATTTCGCAGGTCGGTTTATGGGATCACCGGGAATGGCTGATGATTCCGATGACGGTTTAGGAAGTGGGAAGAGGAAAGGTTCGGGAATGAAGATGTTCGGTGACCTGTGGAGGAAGAAAGGGCAGAAATGAAGTGTGATAGAACAAAAAAAAAAAGAGTAGCGTGTGATTCAAGAAAGCAGTGTACCTCTTTACATGGTGAGATGATCTAAGTGTGTCTACGAAATGAGGGCTAATCATTTCGAGCTGTATAATTATCTAGTGATGAATGAACATTTAGAGAGTGACAGTGCTTACTTCACCTAATCGAAATTCCGATTTAAATTGCCAAAATCTGCTGATTCGGATTGCTTCAACTCTCTGTTTTCAGATTTCCTCCAAAAGTGTAAGTTTGGTAAAACTCTTTACCAAATCGGAACCGGTTCAGGGCTTCTTATGAATTGCGTCCGGTTAGGTTTTATAATGAGCAGTACCTCCCCCATTCGGTTCCGGTTCGATATCTCTCCAGATTTTTTTCTACAAATAAACAAGCTACCAAGTCCCAATCCAATTAACAGTGTAAGACTTAATTCTAGTTAGTTTCTTTCAACATTGCCAGTTCAATTATATGATGTTTGAAGTCGTTATAGGAAACTTTTTAGCTAATAACGTTAAGAAACAAATACACCTTGGAGATGTCCAAGTTGGTCCATGCATGTGAATTTGACAATACAGTGACGAGTTTCTTTCCTTTAAAAGAATGGCGCACTCTGTAAGTAAACGACACGCTGTCGAAATTCATATAAATAAATATCTCTCTAGATCACTAAACATTTTCGTGGCCAAATCAAATCCTCGGACCACAATATCGACGTGTCATATTGAGATTTTCTGTTCTAATGTCTCTATCGATATCTTTAATATTGTTATAAAGTTGTTAGCCATAAAATGTTAAGCTTTGATCCAACAAATTTAATATCATGTACTTTTCAGCTCAAGTTTCTTTCTTTTTCTTTTTCTTGACCAGCTTCGTATTTATCCTAGCAGCTATTCTATGACCAAATAAAATATTCTATCAATTATTCAAAACACTACTTGATATAGTGTACGTAGACACCAAAACTACTAGACAAAAAAAGAGTCGCATTTTACAATTATTGGATCAACAATTACTTGAAACATAGTTATATATCACACTTGGATTTATAAGATCTACAAATTACGAACAAAATTTATGAATCATTTTAACGATATAATGGTTTCTCTATTTTATATATTTTTCCTTACGAATTGTTGAAGCCTATTATCAGACAATCTAGAGTTGTAGGCAGAGTTTTTATACTCCGACCAAGTGAACTCTTCGTACAATCTCTCGTCTTCATTGTCTATAAGACAAGTCAACGGAGCGATCCTCTGAGTCAAAGAAGGTCCAGCAAAGTAAATCATAGAAACCCTAGATTTCCTGCTGTTGGCTAAAACCCTATGCCTCACGCTCTTGAACCTCCCATTTGTCAACACCTGCATATTCAGCACACACACAAAATTTAGATATTTTGGTCTAGAATACCGAAGAAGATCTAAACATTGTCTCATTGAGATGGGTAGCTAAAGAGATAACCTTGAAGATCTAGACTTACCTGGAGAGAGTCGCCTACGTTGAAGAAGAAGGAGGAGTGATCAGAAGGGACAGAAATCCATGAGCCGTCAATTAGATTGATTTGGAGACCAGAAGTGTTGTTAGATCTCAAGACAGAGATGATTTGAGGATCTGTGTGTTCGCCAAAACCAATGACATTCTTGCCAGCATTGGTCTTCTTGTTTATAAGAGGGCATGGTGGATAGTGGTTAAGTCTAAATATCGAATCTGTGTTTTGATCAGATACAAGATTGCTAAGTGTGTTCCTCGGTTTGATCCCTAACCCATCTGTAATCATCTCCAAAACCTCACATGTCATTTTTCTCACTGATTTCGTGTACTCTTTCAATGCGTTTCTGCATATCAAAAGATAAATAGTTGAGACGGGTAAACAATTTTCAAATAGCGAAAAAGATGAAAACTAAATGGAATCACAAAATTCTTTGTATTGAACAAGATATTATACAGTATAAAAGTAACTACATCAAGAAAAAAATAAGCCATGAAGCATAGAAAGAGTCAGAGGATGAAATATTAAAACAGAGCATGAAACAGGGGAAGAAACAGAGTGTGACAACGAAAGGTGTTAACTAAACAAGGGACATTAAAAAACCTTTAATTCTAACCTGAAAGTTTCCGGGTTTTTCAAGAGACCTGGAAGGAATGGATTCGAACCGGAATCAAGATTAGCATTCATCAACAAGTATTCGACCCAACCAACATCACCATTCCGACCAATCTTACTGTTCCCGTATCCAAAGGGATAACCTGCGACATGGGTTTTCTCTGACTTGGGCAACGAGAAGAATTCGACGGCTTCGTGTTCCAAAACAGAGACTAGCTCCGAAGAAATGCCATGGTTGATCACCTTGAAGAAACCAAAGTCTTCACAGGCTTTGACGAGGGCGTGTTTTGATTCTGGGTCAGAGATATCTATAACCGGGATTGGAGCAAACCCGAATTTTGGTTCTGCGACCGGTTTAGACAAGACCGCCATTGATATATTTGTATGTTTCAGAGATTTTCTTTTTTTGGCGTTACTTATGATAGCTTTGAAGGCTGAGACATCGAGTTATGTACTCGGAGGAGTGTATATATAGCAGAGGAGAGATAAAAAAAAATCTTACAATGCCGTACGACCACACTGTTCAAAACTCAAGCTAAAATCAATAATTTTCTCTTCAATGTATCCATATCAATAAATGTGATTTCGGAACAAAATTTGTGAAGGGGTCATTTATCAATAACAAATTTTAAATCGTTCGTCCATCATCTAAGTATTATTTAATCGAGCATATGTTCTTATTATTAAAAATACTGAATATTCGATTACAAAACAATAAAATTAAAAAATAACCTCTCTTTTTTCTTTTATCATGGACGTAATGTGTTCTAATTTTTAAAATAATTATTCGAGACCAAACATAAAATATCTGAGAGCGAAAGGAATTTAAGCTTTAGTGAATCTCTACTTTCGTACTAGTTTTCTTTTATATAGTTTTTTTTTTTTACTTTTTTTTCATAAATTGGCTCACATGTATATTCCAAGATTTGTTAATTGGTTTACTTGACCCTCTCAAAACGTCCATATCCAACACCGATCCTCGTCCTCGAACCAACCGGTACGATGAATCTAATTAGACTAATTAAATTAATTTTTCTTTATGTGACCGTCCCTTAATGTTAGTAACAAATAACGATCTTAAAATTTGGAGATCTTGTTTTGATAGTTGTTACCAACAACTCCCGAGAAGATGCGGACAGTATGGCTTGGAGTAAATCCGAATGTTTATCTTGTCTCCACAAGATATATTCACAAACAAGATATATTCACAAACAAGATATATTTACAAAGAATGTCGTTCTGATATTCTTGACACAAATTCAGAAATAAGATTAAATGTCTCTTATATCTTTAATAATTTGCAGAAAATGATTCTTGGAAATTAATTTATAACAATTTTCTGAATTTATTTTTGAGGTTAAAACTGATATTTTATGTCAAAATTTACATTGGAATTCTAAAACGACATTTTTTTAAACAAAAAAAAGTGTCAGAACGACACTCTTTATGAAACGGAGGGAGTAAGTTTCTAAAAATAACTGACAATTAGTTAACTAGTCCAAATTATTTGTATATTACTCAAAAAATTTCTCAATACTTGATATGTTCTTGAGCACTTCTTACAAATTATGGCGAATTACTCAATAATCTGTATTTAACTTTGATATTCCATTTTAGATAAAAACTAAAATAACTGTTAATCTCGAAATTCATCAATCTTTAAGTTCGATTGGATAATTTATATGTTGAATAAGTGTGCTTGAGTTTCCAACTCAAAAGTCAAAACCAGCTAAACATAATTAGATTAGCTTAAATCTTCTGATTTATTTTATTCCACTTTTCCAAATTTTAAAATAAGATATTTCTAAGACATTCTCTATATATAAGTTTATATATTTTATTTATGGAGTGCTTATAAGTTTAAAGCAACCATATAATATCAGATTTGCTTTAAACTTAAAAATGTGTCCATAAATCTTTTATGATTGCTAACTAATTTTATAAAAAAAATGGATACTTAAAATAGTCAAATATCTAAAAGACACAATGCACTTATATTTCGTTGATTTATCCAAACATTGTTTTTTTTTTTAACATGTTGATCAGTAGAATGACCGTTATCAAAATATTTAGTGTTAAATATTTGGTATATCCGCCAAGAATATTATTCAGATTAAGAAAAATATGTCATCGACATGACAGTAGACTTTTATTAATGGAAAGTAGAATAGACGTTTGCATAATTAGGTGTGCATATAAGCTAAATGTCTTCAATGTATTATGGGAAAAAAGAAAGAAAAATAAGAAATAAGATGTAACGTTTCAACCCAAAAAAAAAAATAAAAATTATGTAATGAATGCCAATAATGACACGTGTCATTAAAAAATTACCGGGCAATGTCACTGTCAACGAATCAGCAATGTCTTGTTCCATTCTAGAGTCCGTTATTGTTCCACGTCGGCTGTCTATCCGTGACCTTTTTTGATTTTTTCCTTTCTTACTGTTATTTTTTTTGCTTTTATAACATCAGATTGTATAAAATGAAACTTGGATTTACATTGTCATCAGCACTCAGCAGGATGAGTATAGATATATTGAGGAACAAAAGAGTAATGGACCATCTTACATTATTTTTTAATTTTGGTCCATGTTTGGAAGTCTGTGAGTTGTAAACAATAACAAATAAATCGTAGTATGTTCATTGATAACTCATTTTTCGTAACGCTCACTGGCCTATCATAATTTACAAAATAGTAATTACTCTTTGGGCAACCATTTTTAATTACTTTAAGGGATACTTTATTAATGCCTATTTGACTAACACAATGGTCCACTTTCCAATAATTGAGACGCGTTATTAATATAGCCTATCCAGTTTAGTAGTTTACCGTAATATTAGTATTTAGTACTCTTCCGTCTTATAAAACAATACTTAAATTAGAAGACACATTATGATTTTACTTACACGGTCATTATAGTCTACATATTAAAAAGGCGTTATGAAACAATTATCTTATAAATATTTGTAGGAAGCAGATGTTTAGGAAGCAAATGATTTACTTTAAAGGAATTATTTAAAAAACTGAAGCTGGTATATAAAATATCTACGAACAAAATTTCTTATATGACAACGCCGAAGGCCACTAACAAATAAAAAGTTATATGTTGAAAGGTACATGAGATGCCACGTAGGAGGCAATCCGAGGAGAAACAACTCTTGTGTTTAAGAAAAAAGATTCGAAAAAAGACACAGCTTCGTATTGGTCGTCTACAATGGTAGGTTCCTCGCATGTCCACCCTTATAAAAGTTTGATGTGAACTAATAATAATGTTAGATTCTTTGCCAAAAATAATAGTATTGGAGTTTCCAGTGTTTAATAATGACTAGTAACAACAACAATAGTAATTGTATTCGATTGAATAATACCGCGATATGATGCCATGGAGGGACAGCCTCAGAAGCAAGAACCGACACGTACGGGCCATAAACAATTTAGCACTATTTAAAATTAGTATATAAAAAAATTAAAATCAGTTACATATATTAAAAATTAAAATCAGTATACGGTAGCACTAAAAAAAAACTATTAGGTCGGTTCGTTTAATTCGAGAAATAACTAGAACAAACCAAAGTTTTATACATCTGATCATTGTCTACGAAGAACTATTTTGTTATTCTCTAAACATCGAATATTGGTAAGCAGGTAGATGATCCAATCTTTATTCAGTAGGTTAGTCAACAAAATATCCCATAAAAATAGAAAACAAATAATTGGGTTTAGAAAAAAAAAAAAATGTATGGACAATATCTAAGGATGGTTTCAAGTTGTTTCGTCTTTTTTTTTGAGTGTCTGTTTGCTTCAATTATGTGAATGATGTCGGGCCAAAAATGACACTGGAGGGGATCCCATCCATTGCTGTTTTGATATTTTATGTTCTTACAAGCTTTACTTTCTGATACGACAATGAACGATTTGGAAAGAAAAGAATCAGGAACCCTGAAAACATTAATCAGGAACCCTGAACCTTGAACATAATATAGCAAATAAGAACGACGATGGGCCAATATTAGGCTTTTTTATAGGATGCATAAGTTTTCGGGCAATTTCACATAAATTAGATGGATTTCTTTTTTCTTAAAAGTTTTTAATTTAAATGCAAGAAATAATATTACAAGAATATGATTTTGAAGTCATATAGTTTACGAAAGTTAAGTAACCTAATGGAGAGAAGAACTCTACAACAAAGTAAAAACCTAAAAAGAGGGGAGAAAGATCGAGAAACGGCTTTCTAAGGATTCCAAAGATGATCCATCCACAACCTCTCAAAGAACATATAGTTTGGAATCATGACTATCATTGGTTTGACTATTGTGAAAGTAAAGTAGACTCCAGATTACAGGAAACAACTTTAATTCAGCATATGTTTGGTAGACGACTCCGCTCAAATAAAGGTGTCTGTCTACTTTTGAAATCCTTGGAAGTTTTTTTTATTCACTATCTATGTTATACTTTACGAGTTCTCAACTCTTTCTTTATAATGTTTAAGGTCCGACCACGAACATAAAGGTATGAGAATATAATAGAATTCACATTACATTACAGATATACGGTTGTGTAGAATCGCTTCAAGATGCCTTGACTCAGTTTACTTCAACCAAAAGATGTAGAATCGCTTCAAGATCTGCAAATCTTGCCTTTTTCTTTTGTTTTCTTTTCCGGTTTACTGGTTTAACACCTTGTGAGAGATCTTGAGTTGGAAAGCGGTTCTGTTTTTGTTTCCTTTCCTATCCTTACTACGAATAATCTACTATTGTTGTTAACCAGAAGAAGATAAATATGAAAATATTAACCATGAATTTTTTTTATTGAACCGGTTTAATAAAGAAGCTGTTAAAGTCCTCTCGCTTCTAAACCACCTCTCGTAATTCCAATTGCTAAGTCTTAACAATCGGATTGTGAGGGCGTATAACCTCATTACATGTTAAAAGGAACCAGAATCTCATTAACTCTATCCGTGGTCTGGAACGGCGGGTTGTAATCGGCTACCAAATAATCCGGCGACTTTCCTTTGCTCTTCTCGATGGACACACTCCACTCAGTACCCTTGAGGCTAGCCATCAGAGCTGCAGCTTCTTTCTTGGCTGCATCGTCCGTCACGTACCCACCAAACTGCCTCACGGCTACGTGAGTTGGTTTCCATGGCTGCACGTGGAGGTCATCGGCAAGAGGTGGATTCTGTTGGTTCTTCTTCGGGAGGTAGAAAGAGACGGTGTACATGTAGAGTACTGATTTTCCCGGTGTTGCTTGTGTGATCACCGGAGCTGTCATATTCATCTTTGTCTTGCTCTTGTTATCTTCTTGTATGTAACTAAATAATCTGCAACCCCCAAAACGACATCACTTTCAATTTTAACTTAATAAATTTAGGTAGGATGCGATAACATCATGATTCATTAGGTTAATGAAATGTAAAAAAAAAAACAAAACAAAAAACCAACAGCCAATAACTCAACTAATATAGATCTCAGGCAAAACTTAGAGGTTGTTGGTTCGAGTGGCTCTTAGGACTAGACTATATATATGCTTTGATATCAGGCTTGAAGGATATACGGACTTAAATCCAAAATATCTTAGTTATTAAAAAAAACAGAAAGAAAACCAAATTTTATTCGGTTTGATTACGTTTTTAATCATATGCAAAAAGAGAATCAATCTAATTACACACGTAGAGTCAAAAATTCTATCCAAATCAAAGTTTACCAATAACAACACTGACTTTAATAGATATACCCCACTAGATTGAAAAAAATGTAAGATACCTTTGGAAACCGGTTTTGGTGGCTTGAGTCATGGATGGGGCAGGGATGGGAGCAGTGGACATCCAGACCGCAGAGTCATACACGCGGATCTCATAGCCGTAGCCAGCCTCGGCCAAATTGTAGGTGGGACACTCGTAGTGGTCACACGTTCCCGGACGTATCCCCATAGATGGGTTCCACGGTGCAGGAGCCTTAGCACATGATACAGCCACGACTAGGCTGAGGCACAAGGACAGCTTCAAGATGGTTAAACCGGTTTCCATGATTTGAATAGCTTTGAAAATGAATATCCTAGTTTTGTTTAGATACTTTTTTTCTTATATGCCTTGTGTAATGGAGTGTATTTATAGATGCGTTTTTGGGCAATGATGTTGATAATAATAGAGTACAAGTTATTAATACCTTTGACTAGATGACTTTCGTACAAGTTTGACCTATTATTGGAATCAGATGGCAAGACAATTATGAATATGCTTTTTAGGAAATTAAAACTAGAATATATATACATACTGTAGATAATAATGAATAAAACATTTTCCAATTTTCACAAAATGTTATTGTTGTAAACGCAAGCAAACACTGAGATTAGATGTCACAAATGAATGTAATCATTATAATATGCATAGAATGTATGAAGAGGTGATTTAAGTGGTCTTAATTGATTTGAAAGTCCAATTGAAATTTCACTCAATCACTGACTTGAAAAGATTTGATTTAGCTGAAATCATGTGTTATCTGAAATATGAACTAACCGCGTTACAATTGTTGACAACACAATCTCTGTAGTGCAGCCAAATCCTCTTGTGTGTGTATGTTTTACTATAGTTCCTGTACTTAAAAAGCATGTGTCTCAATCTTTCAAAAACTTCTTTTGGAGAGTTAATCAATTCTTTCGAGATTGTACAACACCATATCTTCCAGAGCTGACCTGAAGCCACTTCGAGGCAGGCACTGCAGATTCTTCAAAGCGTCAACAGCTTTCTCCCTAGCCAATTCTTGTGCTCTCCTGATCCCCTCGCCTTCTATCACTGCTTCAATGGCTTCTTCCAGCGAACCCTCCTCACAAAACTCAGACTCAATGATCTCTCTCAGCCTTGGCTCCTTCTCCAGCGCAAAAATCACGGGTGCGGTTAAGTTGCCTTTAGCCAAATCACTCCCTGCAGGCTTCCCCAGCTGCTCTGTCGACTGAGTGAAGTCCAAAATGTCATCAACTACTTGAAAAGAGAGGCCGAGATTCTTCCCAAACTCATACATTTGCTCTGTCACATGAGTCTCGACTCTGCTGAAGATGGCAGCTCCTTTGGTGCTTGCAGCCACCAACGAGGCTGTCTTGTAGTAACTCTTGAGTAAATAGTCGTCGAGCGTAACGTCGCAGTCAAATAGACTGGACGCTTGCTTTATCTCTCCGCTTGCAAAGTCTTTGATCACCTGAAAAAACATATTAAGTTAATGAAAGGAGATTTCAGAGCACAGTGCTCTCTGAATGTAAAGAGTAATCAAGTACCTGACTTATAAGCTTGATAACTTCGAGGTTCTCAAGATTTGCCAAGTACCATGACGCTTGAGCAAACATGAAATCACCAGCTAACACAGCTACTCTCGTGCCAAAAAGCTCGTGAACTGTTTCTTTCCCTGTAAATTATACAGAGAGTTTTAACTAAACCAAACATTTTTACAGGAAAAAAAAACAGATGAACCATCATAACCATGAATGGAAACTCACCTCTTCGCATATCACTCTCATCTAACACATCGTCGTGTATCAAGCTTGCAGTGTGAATCATCTCGATGATCTCAGCCAAACGCCGATGTTCTGTAGTTAGTTCCCTGCATCAAGATTTTAAGACACCTGAAAATGATCAATTTGTGCTAAAAGATGGATAACGAATTAGAAGAAAGGAATACATAATTCTATAGATTGCTTACATTAGGCCAGCTAATTCTGCCGTGGCGCGTGATACAAGGAATACCAAACCGGGTCTCATTCTTTTACCACCAGCTCCGAAAATTTGCTCAGCCGCAGATATCAAAACCGGATTTTCTGCACCAACAGTCTAATGAAGAAGTAATTCAGTGTCAAGCGGTGGAAAGAAGAAGACAGTGCTAAAAAAGAGTTTTTGTTTTTTTTTTGGGGGAAACTGACCGACAAAAGATTGTCATTCAACGTCTGCAGATCATCAGCTACTACCTCAAACAGATTTGCCAACGATATGGGCTGTTTTGACTCTTGCCTCAAATCGAAACTCACTGTCTTAGCTTGACCAATACCTAGAGTTCATCATCATTTCATTTCTCATGAATCCTAACCATAAAAGAAGTACTCCAGATTCCAACAGTTCGTTCTAATTGAAAGAAAATTCATAAAGGAGAATCTAATAACTACTTAACAGAACATGCACTCTTATGAGACATACATTAGTTCACAAGATTTTGTAATTGATACTTAGCCAAGTCAATCATTCAACCAGATACATGATCCAAGAAATCTCAATCCAAACCAAACTGATATCAATCAAATGAACCAAAAGCAGATAACTTTAACTAATAGTTAGACATCTGAGATTCATACCGTTGACCAAAGAGATGTCCTTGGATTTTGTCGGCACAGCTTTGCAACTCTCACCTATGTCTCGCCGGAGGAACACCAGATTCCCGCCGCCATAGCTTCTCGTGCTACTTGCTTTACAAAGCGTCTTCGAGAAATTGCCTAACGGGAGCTGACGACGGCCACACCCGCACGCGATCAGATCAAGCACACTCGTACCCAAGTCTATATTCCGACATGACGTCATCATTCTCACAAAACCCAGAATCCAATAAGCTTTGAGGACTTTGGATTATCAAGCTCTCTGAAACTGGAAGGAGTCTGTATAGATTGGAAGATGTTACATGCGGAAGCAACGAAAAGCTAACTTCTTTTCTCCGCAGGGAGATTGCGTTTGCAATGAATAAAAAATACGACAACCAAAAAAACGAATTAAATATATTCAAGTGGGTGTTTAATTAGCGGATCGAGGTTTTTTTTTATTATTCAATTTGCTGTTTTTGGGTGGACGAGAGAAGCCCACATGAGGAGGAGGAAGTGTGAGGATTTTGGGAGGACGAAAGAGACGACTGTCTTCGTTTTTGTTCAATACGAGAAGAGAAGAGGGAAACTGTGAAGGGAGTCCATCGTCTCCACTTATCTTATCTGAAGCTGTGATCTTGCCACGTGTTACTTATCCAGTGATTTAACATTTTCTTCCTTGTATTATTACTAGTTAATGTTTTCAGCCTCTCTAAATTTCATTTTCAATTTTAAGTCCTTTTCTTCTTGTATACATTAAAATGAATGATTTAAAATCTCGGAACTTTATGCTACACCTTTTTGAACAAAAATGCTACACCCTCCGTTGACGGATTAATTAAGATCAACATTTTCATATATCACAAACTTTCTTTCTTTTGGATGTTACTAAAATGATTATAACAGGATAAAACTTTGATATTTTTAGTAATAAAACTCATAGAGACATGCTCCTCCTCTGTTTTCTTGTAACAGAGACCTACATATGCTTTTTGCTCATGAGTATTCATAGTAGCAGTTTCCATAGCCTACAAAATAAGACGAAACTTTAATCTGACATTATTTTTTTCTTAGAAAGAAGAAGAAGAAGAAGGAAAAGAGAAATATCAAACTCACTGGGATTAGTTATGACAATGAGTCCAGAGTTCTTGAAATTACAGTTCCAATAATTTCTTCCATTAGCTTGGTAATAAAGATTCATGGCGATAGAAGCGTGGTTTATGAGATTACCGGGGGAGTAACATGGACACCCATTCGAAAGAACCCGACAATCGACATGAGAACACGCGTAGTTTATGTTATCCAAAAGTGTTGCTTGATCTGAAGAAGGTTTAGCCACACACCAGGTCTTCATCTACAACAACGACGTTGAAACAAAACTTATTTGAGTAAGAAGAACAAACATCGTTTTACCTATGATAACTGGTCTAAGCATGTACCTCTGCGTTGACTTTGATGAAGTTTCTTTCTGTGAGAAAAACAACCAAAAAGTATATGAAGATGAATCTGTTATAAGTAGGATTAGGAATGGTTCACAATCTGAACTTGGAAATTCTTACGTTTAAAGTTAAAATTTTGAGTCACATTTAATGTGAAATTTAGTAAGTAAATTAGGATATGGTTGATTGATTAACCTGAAGAGAAGTGGAAGAAGATAAGGAAGCAAAGGCACATCCATGCTTTAGCCATTGTTTGATTTTGTCTGAGTGAGAGAGCTCTTCTACGATCTTTTTCTATATATAAATGATGCAAGTCTATCAGTCATCGGTTACAAAAAAAAAAGTGTGTCAGTGATGATTTTAAATTTTAAAACAGTTACAAAAAAGAACGCAAATAATTCTAATTAATGTTTTCAGGCTTTTAAGGTGAATAATCCAGCAAATTGCTGATAGGTAAAGTAAGAGTTTTCTCAATAAAGTGGCACTATACACCTTATTGTTAGAGATCATTATGTCACTTTGGTTTAACGTTTGAACCTTAAGAATCTCGACTGACTATTTTATTTGTTAAGCAAAATGAAATAACTGTCTTTAGAAACTATAAAGAATATTTGGGACACCACCGTCAAATAACGAGACATCAAAACGTGAGCCGAGCTGTAGATTAAAGAAACTTTCAGATCCAATGCCCACTTTGTACGAGAATCTTAAGAAATACTGTATAATATATATGGCTTTTTTTCTGTATAATGCTTTATTCACAAACCAAAAAAAAAAAAAAATCAATAATAGTTTGTCTTCTAGATTCGTAATACTAATTATATTTTAACTTTCAAGTCCAGTTATCAAAGAAGCGAATCTCGAAAACTTTTTTCCTTCAGCGAAACTGTATTTTGGAGCTAAATTTGATTATTTCAAGAAGAATTAATTTTCTTAATAACATCTTTTTTGACGACTACAGTTTTATTAAGTTTAAAGTTATACAGCATATGTTCTTAAATAAGAGTCATTACAACCAAGAGATTACATAATTTGTACGTAGATCTTAATCTTGCATCTCTCATTAGGCTATTTGCAACTATATTGACTTATATCTTATCTCAGAATTTATCTGAAGAGAAACTGATTAGAAGGCTTAGCAAGCCTTATGATACTGTATCACCAACGTAAAGTAAGAGACTGCGAAGCAATTTTCTTAATAACATGCTCTCGCACTTTCTCGCGAGTAATGAACACATAATGAAATTAAAAAATTAATCAGAGAGAAATCAAAAGGAAGAACGTTTCGAAAGGCTGATGTATTCTAGCAATTTGACGACCTCGGTCATGGACGGTCTAACTGCCGGTTCCGGTTCAAGACACATCATCGCTATACCAAACACATCGTTCATCTCTTGAACCGGTGCTCCTCGTAACCGGTTATCTATCACCACCTCTTCTCTTTGGTCTCTTACCACTCCTTTAACCTGTTGTATACAATTTTAACGATGTCGTTTAGCGATCCAGAGAAATTAACTATTAAGTTTAACAAGGAAAAAAAGAGAAAGACAAAACTTGTTACCCAAGTAACAAGCTTGGTTCCTTCTTCAAAAAACTCATCATCTGTTGGTCTTCTTCCTGTTAAAAGCTCCAGAAGAACAACCCCGAAACTGTAAACATCTCCTTTCATTGTCGCCTTACCGGTATCGAAATACTCTGTTTTTAAAACACACATGAACATACTCAGATCAAACTATTTTTTTAGTTTATGGACTTGGAAATTGAAAATATATTTGTTTGTTGTACAAAACCAGGAGCTAAGTATCCGAATGTTCCAGCTATAAACGTGGAAACGTGAGTCTTGTCTGGCTCCATCAAAGTGGCTAAACCGAAATCTGAAACCCTAGCTTCCATGTTGTGATCAAGAAGTATGTTGCTAGATTTGATATCTCTATGGATAATGTGAGGGATGCAATCATGATGAAGGTAAGAAATCCCTCTAGCCGCTCCAACCGCGATTCTGTATCTAGACGCCCAATCCAAAACTTTTCTGTCCCCAGATTTTCTTCCTGCAAATAAAAACATATGTTGTGGACCTTGTGGTTGAAGAAACCACTCAAATACACGTTTTTGTGTTTAATGCTCTGTTTTTTTTTTTGGCGTGTACCGTGCAGAAAAGAATCCAAGCTTCCATTAGGCATGAGCTCATAGATGAGGAGATTGTAATGTGGAGAAGTGAAGTAGCCATGCAGAGTTACAATGTTTCTGTGTTTGATATCTGCCATTGCTTCCAACTCTCTATGAAACCCTCTGTCTCTTTCAGAGGTCCCTCTGTTTAGTCTCTTCACAGCGAAAACTGTAGAGTCATCAATGGCTAATCTGTAAACAGTTCCGAATCCTCCAGAACCAAGAATGTCTTTGTTACTTAGCTTATGTGTCTTCTTCATAAACAAGTCGGAGGAAACAGAGTTTAGTAGTGGAGATCTGAACATCACCATTTTTCCTCCTCCTTTAACTGAAGAATTATATAAAACATAAACTAAACAAACAGAGAAAAAGAGAGAGAGAGAGATGATTGAGTCAGATAATAAAAGCTAGACTATCACCTGGAAATCCATTTTCATCAACTGTGTGTTTTCTCTTCCATCTCTTGTATAGAAGAAGAGCGATTACGATTTTACCAATGACAAAAGCAACCACAGAGATTGTTATATAAAAAGTTGTTTCCTTTGCATTAGCCATTGTTTCTCTTCCCAAAACCTTGTGAGTTTTTTTCTTTCTTTTGCTATTCCTTATCTCATTATCTGAAATTGGGGGAAAAAAAAAGAAGACGAAGAGAAGACAAAGAAGTTGGTTACGGAGATAGACAGAAAAAGAGAAAGTAGGTTTACAACTTTTGATCCTCACCAACAATTGGACACGCCTCACACGAAATAATTCATTTATATGTTACTATTACGTATGAAACGAAAATCGAGTTTCTACATAAGAAACCATCCGCTTTTGTTGAAATCATTAATTGAGATGCAACACTTTCTGACAAAAATGTGATCAATCAAACAACTCGTGAAGGTGGGTGCCTTACCAGCTATTACCTATCTTTTGTCGCTGAATTTGTGCTCAGCATCTAAAAGAAGATTCAGTAAATAATTCCAAATATCCTTGCAAATTGTAATTTTAACATTAAGTTGAGCAGATTTACTACTCTCAGGTTTTACACTTTTGTGCTCAACATCTAAAAGAAGATCAGTAATTAAAAAAAAAAAATCCTTACAAATTGTAATTTTAACATCAATTAGAGCCTCTGTTAGCTTTCTGAGCTTTTACAATCTACAAACTGTATGAAATTTTAGCATCAGTATATTTGGAAAATGTAGGAACCTCCACATATCAATCAATGACTTCTTATGATCCTGCACAGAACAAAAATCAAAACCAAAAGTACGTTTCTTTGATCTCAAAAGTCAATCTATCTTTTGCTCCGACACAATGAAGAAAACCTCTGTCTCACCTTCCTTAACGAGAGAGCTCCGGTTCTGCCAACAACATATCTTGCAGCAGTTTTGCATCCGTGTACCTTTCGATACTTCTGCGGAGAACAAAAGGAAATGAATCAGATATCCAATAAACAAGAAGATTTTGTTTAAGGAAGGAAACTAAAAAAAGAGAGGAAATATACTCGCAGATGTTATCGATCTTGAGTTGCTTATGATGAAGAGTGAAACCATGACCGACATAAGTCACAACCAAACTACCAGCATCAGGGTGAGGCCAGCTTCTTGAAATAGGGAACCTGAGTATGAAGGTTCCCGGTTCTTGGCCTTGAAGCGAATGTTCAGCTTCTTCCTTAGTGATGAATCCTTCGACCCATTTAGGCGACGAAGAACGCCACATTCCGTTTATCAAGCCCCGGGATATTGAGGAAGCAACAGGGAACAACCAACACCACATTTTCTCGAAATTCTCCTGAGTTACGTACTCGTAGCATCCTGATATTCTCCTTAGAATCTCAAAATCCTGGTGGGTGAGAGATCTGCTGCTGCATTTGGAAATCCTCATGAAATGTTCTTCAATCTCATAGACCACATTATCCCAATGAACATGTTGATTGTTCCGAGATATCAGTATCCACACATTTGTTCCTTCATCTATTAGCTTTTTTGCCATGTTGATTTGATAGCTGAAATATTTCGAAAATATAAACTTCAACACAATTATCATAAAAAGGAGTCTTTCTTCCCATCAATGTATTAGGTTAAAATTACCAGTGGTGGGAACATCCTGAATACAGAGAAATCTGACTAGCGAATTCCAAAACTTCGTCGTCTGATGAGTTGTTTGTGATTTCCTTTAAAAGAAGAGACCTCTCTGTTAAGTTTCCTAAACAGTATCTGAAGATGGTAGAATCTGAGATTGTATATCTCATCAAAACCAAGTCTCTCATTTCCGAGTTTTCTGAATCAGTTGATGAGTTATCTTCTTCGTGGTGCATACTCACGTCGTTTCCATTATCGAACTTCTCACACAAAGCAATGCAGAAAGGTAAGGTTGATATAAAGATATGCAACTTGCAATAACATTATGAAAAGAGAAAAACACTATATATACCTGTTCATATGATTCCTCACTCCCAGAAACACTTTCTTTACAAAACCTGGCTCGTTTCACTGAGGAAGTATTGTGAAGAATGTTCGGTGATTCGGTACTTAATGGATGATGGTCAATGAGGGTCAACCTTTTAGGACTAATCGAAATGCAACGTATTGGGTTGGTTAGAGCTTGGAGGAAAGGATAATCTTTAGCATTTGGTATTTGAAATTTGATGCAGAACAATCTGTTATCACACTTGGAGGAAAGCTGGCAAAAAGAAAAAAGAATTTACAACAACAATTCTTTAGTGATTTAAGAAAAAAGCTATAAATTTGTAACCTGAGTGGTCAATCGTTTTCCCACACGAGTCATGGAGAATGAACACAAAGATCAAACACATAGTAAAATTTCCCATACGAGTCATGGAGATTGAACACAAAGATCAAACACATAGTACAATTTCCCATACGAGTCATGGAGAATGAACACAAAGATCAAACACATAGTAAAATGTCGTTTTTACCTGAGAGATCTTGAGCTTAAAGGATGAACGTCCGTTCAATAGTTTGATCGGTCTATCATCAGCTGAGAATACAACTCCTTCATAGCTTACCAAAAGAGGAGCCTCAGTTTCACTCGACTTGGCCTCCACAAGCGTATCGGAATACAGTAGCGATGCAACAACCTTGCATTTTACACCACCATGTAATATCGTGAATTTCGGAGCCAAGAAGAGTAGGATAATTAGTGCCTTTAAGTGATGAGAAACCGTAAGAGAATATGAACCTCCACATCCTTGTGCACAGGCTGGCCAATAGCATTGGATAAAACAACATCCAAGGAAAACATCTCCCTACAAGATGCCTATAGAGTAGAACATAACTGTTGACGAAGTGAGGAGAAAATGTAAATCAAATGCTGCTAATGAGCGTTAGAAAGTCTGACCTTCCAAACACCGTCATCGTCTAATTCAATCCCCGATGAGGATGACTTATCGACAGATAACCATAGAGGTGGGTCCTGGAAAAAACATGAATAAAATACTTCAGAAAATAAACAAAATACAGAACAAGATTGTTGTAAAGGAAGAGATAGGCAAAATTCAAGCAGAGACCTTCATATAATGATGCTCCACATGACAACTAGCAGGCAAGACTTCTGCAAATTGGATGAAACCTTGAACGCTATAACCATCTCCGCCAACACTAAATAGTGATATCTTTCGAAGACATTCGTGATTGGTGTTCTTTATCAGCAAAGAAGTCAAGGACTGTTCTCCTACAATCTCTCCATCGATAAGAAGCCTCACGTAATTTCTAGAAACCTAAGAAATCCAGCAGAAACAGCCATCTCAAAATGGAAATACAGGATCTTGCATCTCCTAAGAAAATCGAGCTGCTTGGGAAGAATCTTACCTGGCAACCGACATGAACCCATTTTTCGAGAGGAAAATGGGATTTTGTAGACACATTAGGAACTTGAGTCCAGGAAGAAGTGTCAACAGGATCAGGAGCTTCCTTGTGAAGCAGAGTCAATGGCAAAAGCATCATCTTCTTATATTCATCTAGGACAAGGAAAGGTGCACTAACACTCATCTTTGAGTGAACCTGTTAAAGACAAACCGCTTGATCATTGAACTATGTTATACAAGAGACTGAAAAAACCTTCAGAGAAAAGGTGAAATGTTCAATATACGACGCAGAAAACTCTCGAGGAAACCCTAAATCAAAAACATCCAAATCGAAATGTCTCATTTCCAAATACAGCTGATTCCAAGGCGGGGCATCTATATGAACAATTAAACAGAGAACTAGCGGAGAAGAAACATTTCAGCGAAACACCGAGGAAACAAAAAAGAAGAAGCTGTGATTGAGTTGTGGAGAAAAACACCTGTTTAATGATCGTAGACGGGAATGTGGTGGAATTTAAGAGATACACCCAGAAACAAAGAGAGAAAGTCTCGTACTCTTCGTCTTCTACTTCAACATCAACATTAAAATCCTTCAACAGAGAGTATTTATTCATCTCGATTGCAGAAACACCCGCCATTACTCTCCTCCAAAAAGCTCGACTTGTAAACGAAACCCTTAAAACCCAGAAAACACCGAGAAACAGAGAAATCCCTTTGTCACCAACAAAAACCCATCGATTAGCTAAAAGAGACGTGATGAATTGATCCTTCGACTTCTCTTGTTTGCCTCGCGTTTCGCGTATTTTGTGCTTCTCCGACGGCTGTTTACAATAACGGTTGGTATCTTCTTCCGGTGGTTTACTGGTTGAGTTTGTGGGGAAGAGAGAAATGCTATAATCTGCTGCTTCGCGTCCACCCAACACTACACTAAACAGCCAATGACCCTCCTTTTGGATTGACGTTATAAGTCAAATTTAACTTTCTGCATTATTTTCAATAGCCTTAATTAGAAGCGAACCAGAGTAAAGAACAAACCCATAATTACTACAATTAGCATTAACGACTTTTACAAGAAGAAAAAAGAATACACATATCTACGAGTTTTACAAGGTTTACCATTTAAAAAGAACCTATGTATTGCTGGAAACATGGAGTTTATGAGGGTCCAGTCCTTAAATAGTCATAAGATGAAGGTGAGATTTGCCATTGAGCTTCTGAGCAAAGAAGGCATCAAAGTAGTCTTGTGTGCTCATACTTTTGAATAAACGTTGCTTCTGCTTTTCTACAAGGCTTTTCGCTGGACCAATGATTGTCTCCTTTCCCGGACTATGAAACATCGCAACCGATAACCTCTCCTTCTCTGAATTCACCACCACTCTATGCTCGATGCTTCGATACCTCCCGTTTGTTATGATCTTTACAACAAAAAAAAACACTCACAATCAGAAGAACGAAGCACCAAAAAACATCTTTTTTCATAACAATGGGTAATACTAGCCTTTTCAGTCATCTCTTACCTCTAAGATTTCCCCAACATTAACAACTAAAGCATTTCGAAGAGGTTTCACAACAACCCACTTGCCGTCTTTCTTGATCTGGAGTCCTTCCACTTGATTCACCTGTAATAGTATTGTGAGACCTGCGGCGTCTGAATGTGGAGTCAAACCGACAACTTGATCTGGCTGTGGACATGGCGGATAGTAATTAATCTTGATAGATTGCCAAACATCTTCAAACAGATCTTCCATTTCTTCGCGTTTGATCTCAAGAACACTCGCCATTTTCGCAAAGAGGATCTTAGCTATGCTCTTCACTTCAGAGGAGTAAGTCTCTACAGTTTCTCTGCAAAAGAAAAACGGATTTTCAGTTTGATACTTGTGAGATTAGACAGTAATAACAACTCGGCAGTTTCTACCTGAAAGAAGGAGGTAATTTGGAGAACAAGTGAGATTTGCGAGATCGAATTGGTTCAGTGGTGAGGATGAACATATCTCCCCAGTCCAGTTTCTGATCCTCGGACACAACATTCACTTGTCCGAATCCTTCGAATTCACCACTTCTCTGCCAAAACTTCTGCTTCTCTTCCATGGGGAGGTTAAAGAAATCTTGAACCTCGGTCTCCAGTTTGTCCAAGAAAGACGAATCTATTCCATGGTTTACAAGCTGTGGACAGATTGAAACCCACCAAGAGAGCTTTAGCATAAATTATATTCCGCGAGAGATACTAAGATTCAAGGTGTTAGAAGAAAGGGACTTAACTTGAAAAAATCCCCAATCTTGGCAAGCGAAATCGAGTTTCTCGAGCTCGGAATCCATGGTGGAAACAGAATACAAGCGTTTCATGTCGATGACTGGAATCTCGGAACTCATACTAGAATCATCTAAATTCTCAGATGTTTCTTGATCAGACCGAACATACCTCGGAGGAACGGTCGTCAAGTTTTGCTCTTTAACCATCTCTAGAACACAAGGTACTATGAGAGAACTCCACTGTCTTTCTCCTTCGGCCTCCATGGATTTCCAGCACCAAAACAAATTAACTAAAGAACAAGATCAAAAACGAAATCAAACCCAAGAGAAAAGGCAAAGAAAAGAAAAAAATCGATTTGGAGAAGACGACCTTTAAAGTCTTTAATCCTCTGAAAATACCAATAATACACTCCAAGAATACTCGAAATTACAAAATAGCCTTTTTTAACCTCGTTGCTTTGCTACAACAAAATGATTATTGTTCATAGATCACGAAGACATCTTGATACTTAAGAAAACAAAACATTCCAAGGTAATTTCACCATATCGGAACAAAACACGACATAATCCTTTTATTCAGAAACCTTTAATATCACTGTCGAATTTGAGCAACAGTGAGAAACTCCATGAAGTACCCATTTTTTTCTCTTTTCAGTTTTCAATCTGCTTTGGTGCACTGCGTCTCCAAACTCCAGCCAACATGCTACCAAGGATCGAGTGACAGACGCTAGAAACAGCACACGGTACTGCAGTGAGCGGATTCCCAAAATGTTGTGTCGCAAGAACAACTCCAAGCACCGAGTTCTTCACCAAAATCAAAAGAAAAAGGAAACAGCATCAGCTGAAATTGAGTTTCAAAACCAGCTCGTATACAGTTTCATTTGAGAAAGTGTTGCTTACCTGCATGCCAACTTCGATTGAGATAGTTCTGGACGATGCCACATCGATTCCAAGTAATCTTGAAAACAGATACCCAAAGAGAAATCCAGAGACGTGAAGAAGCGTAGAAGCCAGTACTACCTGTTTCCCAGACATGAGTATTGCAGACGCGTTCTGACCAATAGCATACCCACATAGAATTGCAACGGTCCCAACCGCAATTGGAGGCATCACAGGGGAAACAAAATTCACCAGCTTTTTAAAGTATTGGTTCAGAAATGCCCCGGCCAAAACTGGGAGAAGAACCACCTGTGGCCACAAAAGAACCAAGAAGAGTTAATCCAATGAACAGAAAACTCGCACTTTATAATTCAAACAACAAACTAACTGTACATACCATACCTGTAGTGTCGACATTAGTAATCCAAGGGCATCAACTGTGATATATTGCTTGGCAAGCTTGGCCGTAAGAAGCGGTGTCATAATCTATAAAACGTAATCGAGAAAAAGATTACTGAATGTGGTCTCCTCAATCTACAAGAAGAAGAGAAAAACCGATGACACTAACCACAGCTGAAACAGTGCTAGCTGCTGTCATCAACACTGATAGTGCGACATTTCCACTGTAAATGAAAAAAAGGGAAATTCAGATCATCTAGTTGTATAACAAGCAATATGTAGAACTCAAAAACATATCTTTTGTTTAGAGTACAGACCGCGCAATGTACGTGACAATATTACTTGCCGTACCTTCAAACAACAAGTGACGAGCATCAGAGCCTGAGATAAATGGACCAAAAGGCTATAAAATTACAATCAAGTAGAAAAATGTGTTTTTTTGTTTACCGCCTGGACAGCAACCAACCAATATGAGACCAGCTGCGTAATGCGATGGCAAATTCAAGAGCTTACTCACTAGAAATGCTGATAATGGCATGACCTGCAACACGATTTTCATCAGAAAGTTACGACCTTTTTCCTGCTCTGATAGTACCCTTTCAAACCAAAGAATTGGTAATTGCAACAAGGCTAGCTGAAACACTCCACAAGCTTATGTTACCAAACCCAACAAAACTAGTTATAAATTCCCAATTCACAGCAGAAGAAAGGAAAAAGTCTCGGATATCTCAAATTCGATCAAGGGACAAGAGCAGTAAGAGAGAAACCGACCGAGTACTGCAAGAGAAAGCCAGCGAAGAGCTGTTTGGGCATCTTTAACGCGCCACGAAGATCGTCGAGGGTCAAAGTCATTCCCATTCCGAGCATCGTGATCGTAAGACCTACAATGGTCCAATTGGGAGTGACCCAATTGAAAGTACTTGGTCTCATAAGCCCCAACAAGCATCCCAGAGAAACCCATACCGGAAACGCAGTCGAGACCGCCTCTCCCACAAACTCAACCCACTCGCCGAAGCTCTTCTTTCTCTCCGCAGGAAAGTCGTTCGACGAAATGCCGCAACGAGGGAGGAAGTCAAACCGGCGCCTACACGAAACAGGAACTGTAGCTCGGTCGAAACTGGAACGCAATCCGAGAGAAGTTTCGCGATTCGAGGAAGCATAAGAGGAAGAGATAAGACGAAGATGTAGTGGAGTGAGTTTAGACTTGTGGAGCGAGGTCGATTTCAAAGGCGTTGTTACATTTGAGAGAGAGAGATAAATCGCGGACGCCATTTTTTCTTCTCAGCGATTCTCTGATCGGGCCGGTGAAACATGAAACCCAAACATGTGTGTACGCACGTGCTCTCACGAACGTTTATTTACAAATATGGTCCTTGAATAAAACCCCTATTTACAAAGGCGCTCAAATTGTTAACGATCGAATAAATTAAGAAAATCAAATCAATAAATTTGAATTTATATTCTAGTTATATATTGACTAACAAGTGACTACCATAATTGAATGTGTCGGTGATCTGATTGAGCATATGGACAACCACAATAAATGATTGCATATCAATTAGACAACTATTAATACGAGAATTCCATTGCTTTGTACAATTACGAAAGAGTCCTTTATAGTACATTGGTATTATACGAAGAGAGCCAACACCATATATGGCACCTACCACTACCACAATCGCTAACGCAAACGCAAACGCTATGTGGACCACCGTCCTTTACTTTCCTTACTTGGTAATATCCTCCCTAATTTCATATCCAAATTTAGTCTTATAATCAGAATCTTTCTAAATCAAAAATTTAGTCTAACGACTAGAATGGATCGGTAACTTTTAATATAACATGCGAAGTCAATGTTGACGAAACGCGCGATCTCAAACACGCGACTCAAGTCGTGTACCAACTCGCTTCTGTAAATCAGAGAGAGATCGAAGGATATTTTCGTAACTTAAAGCTGTATATAAAGAATTCCTTCCTGTAGTCTCCTTCCCTCTCCAGGAGTCTTGCGTTCTCTATTTTTGCTCTCTCGAGAAGACTCTTTTTTGAATTTGTTCTTCTCCGTTACTTTCGCTTCTCCTCAGCTTCTCACCGTCGAATTTCTTCACATTTTTTCTCCGATATTTCTATCGTCTTCTCCATTTCTCTTGCCCGATCTACGATTGTTGATCGTGAAGATCTGAAAATTCAGAGGTATGTTCGACAATCTTCTCTCCTTGCATAGCCATTGTCTCGAATTCTTCATGATCATAATTCTTCACCGAGTTTCATTTCTGAACTTGTTTACTTTTCTTGGATCCGATGGCTCACCGTCGTTACAGAATCGAGATTTTTGGTGTTTTTGTTTTTAACTCTGCTCTGCCTGATCTGGATCTAAGGTTTTCGCAATGAAAAATAGCTAGTTTTGATGTTTTACGTTTGATTACTCGTTAGATCCGCTCTGATTCGATCTCTAGCCTCGATCAAGTAATCGTTCCTCGTTACTTATGCACTTCGAGATCGCATTTTTTATGTGTGGAAGCGAAACTAGTGAATCAGCATAATTTTTATTGGAAATTCTCTCAGCTTGCTACATGCAAATTGTTTCGATTTCAGCTAATGTGATTCCATTCTAAAACGCAGGAAATAATCGTGTCTTCTCTCTCAATGGCTTCGTACACTCCCAAGAACATTCTTATCACCGGCGCTGCTGGTTTCATTGCATCTCATGTCGCCAACAGGCTCATTCGGAGCTATCCTGATTACAAAATTGTTGTTCTTGACAAGCTTGATTACTGTTCCAATCTCAAGAATCTCAATCCCTCTAAGCAGTCTCCTAATTTCAAGTTTGTCAAAGGTGACATTGCAAGTGCTGATCTTGTGAATCATCTCCTCATCACGGAAGGTATCGACACCATCATGCACTTCGCTGCTCAGACACACGTCGACAATTCTTTCGGTAACAGTTTCGAGTTCACCAAGAACAACATCTATGGAACACATGTACTTCTCGAGGCCTGTAAAGTCACTGGTCAGATCAGGAGGTTCATCCATGTGAGTACTGATGAAGTCTATGGTGAAACCGATGAGGATGCTCTTGTCGGTAACCATGAGGCTTCTCAGCTTCTCCCAACCAATCCTTACTCTGCAACAAAAGCTGGTGCCGAGATGCTTGTTATGGCCTATGGTAGATCATACGGGTTGCCTGTTATTACCACTCGTGGGAATAACGTCTATGGCCCAAATCAGTTTCCTGAGAAGTTGATTCCTAAGTTCATCTTGCTGGCGATGAGGGGAAAAGTGCTTCCTATTCATGGAGATGGCTCAAATGTCAGGAGCTACCTATACTGTGAAGACGTTGCTGAGGCGTTTGAAGTTATTCTTCACAAGGGAGAAGTTGGCCATGTTTACAATATTGGAACCAAGAAGGAGAGGAGAGTGAATGATGTTGCCAGAGACGTCTGCAAACTCTTCAACATGGACCCTGAGGCGAGCATCAAGTTTGTCGAGAACAGACCTTTTAACGACCAAAGGTACTTCCTTGATGATGAGAAGCTCAAAAAGTTGGGATGGTCAGAGAGGACCACATGGGAAGAAGGGTTGAAGAAAACTATGGAGTGGTACACACAGAACCCCGAGTGGTGGGGTGATGTTTCTGGAGCATTACTTCCTCATCCAAGGATGCTGATGATGCCTGGTGGGCGACACTTTGATGGATCCGAGGAGAATTCATTGGCAGCTTCTTTCACCGATAAACCAAGTCAGAACCACATGGTGGTTCCAAGCCCAAGGAGCAGCAGCACACCGCAGAAGCCTTCTCTGAAGTTCTTGATATATGGCAAAACCGGATGGATCGGTGGTCTGCTTGGAAAGTTATGTGAGAAGCAAGGAATTGCTTACGAGTATGGGAAAGGGAGGTTGGAGGATCGATCGTCTCTTTTGCAGGATATTGTGAGTGTTAAGCCAACGCATGTTTTCAATTCCGCTGGTGTGACAGGGAGGCCCAATGTTGACTGGTGTGAATCTCACAAGACCGAGACTATCCGTGCCAACGTAGCTGGAACCTTGACCTTAGCTGATGTCTGCAGAGAGCATGGCCTCCTGATGATGAATTTCGCTACTGGCTGTATATTCGAATATGATGACAAGCATCCGGAAGGTTCAGGAATTGGCTTCAAAGAGGAAGACACTCCCAACTTCACTGGCTCTTTCTACTCAAAAACCAAAGCCATGGTAATTCATTCTTGCTCTGTCAAGATCCAACGCTCTAATCTTTAACGTTTTTCTCCCTTCTGTACGTATGCTAATTCCTTTCTCTTACAGGTGGAGGAGCTGCTAAAGGAGTTTGACAACGTATGCACATTGAGGGTAAGGATGCCGATTTCTTCGGATCTAAACAACCCACGCAACTTCATCACCAAGATCTCAAGGTACAACAAAGTAGTGAACATCCCAAACAGCATGACGGTGTTGGACGAGCTGTTACCAATCTCCATCGAGATGGCGAAGAGAAACTTGAAAGGAATCTGGAACTTCACAAACCCAGGTGTGGTGAGTCACAACGAGATCCTAGAGATGTACAGAGAGTACATCAACCCTGAATTCAAATGGGCAAACTTCACATTAGAGGAGCAAGCTAAAGTCATTGTGGCTCCAAGAAGCAACAACGAGATGGATGCTTCTAAGCTCAAGAAAGAGTTCCCTGAGCTACTCTCCATCAAGGAGTCTTTGATTAAGTATGCGTTCGAGCCAAACAAGAAAACCTGAAGAGAGAGAGAGAGAGAGGTTGTGATTCGTCACTAGAGTCATCACCTCTAATAATCAGTTTCGTTTATTGTTCAGCTTGCTCTATTGTTTAATTTTACCCCTTACTCTTTCATTAGATTTGCTTAGGGGTGTATTGTAGTTTGATTATTATTGTATTTAATAAGAGCTTGATTTACTAATATCTTGTTTTTGTCATAAAATGTTTTTTTTTTGTTTAATGGATTTTATTTATCACTTGCTCTACTCTTATTATATTAGAATCAACCAACAAAAAGAGTCTGGTAATGGTTACTTTTCGTTACAAAACAATTATTTATTGGGTTACACGAACTCAAACTTCATATATTCATACCGGCTCGGAATTTTAAGATGAGGACGACGATGAGCTAGGCACGGAAGTGTCGGCGAGCTTTTCGAGGAAGGAAACAACACCGTTAGGTGAGGCAAGGAGATATCTAGCATTGGTGCGAGTACGACCAACAGCACAAGAGAAGTAATTCTCTCCTTTGAGGTCAAGCACGTTCCATGAGATCTTCTCTGGTGAAGGACGTCTTGAGTTCCCTAAGCTATGGTTGGATTCGCTTTTTCTCTCTGTTTTCTGCATAGATTTCTGTGAGGCCTTGTTGTTGTTGTTGTTGTTGTTAGAGTTAGAGGAGGATGAAGATTTTGAACCGCTTTTGTTGTTGTGTGTCGACTTTGAAGGCGGTCTTCGGTCTCCTGATGATGACTTGGTCCCACCATCAGATGATGGTCTGGACCGTGCAATGGCTGGGATGTCGGACGGGAGTTCTGGCTCGAAGAAGGTGTAAACATCTTCGTCCTGTAGACACATTTTCAGAGACATTTTGTATCAGAATCACTCGAGACACTAGAATCCGATATGGTAGATTATTAAAAAAAAAAAAAAAAAAAAGCTTTAGTCACCTTCCCCAAGAAATGGCCAATGCATAAGACGTAATCGATTGGTGTGGTCATCGACTTACTATGCACTATCTCTCCTAGAATGCGATCGATTGCAGCTCCCTGAGAAAGAAGAGAATCCGGAAAGTAAGACTCTTGATTTTGATAAGGTTGATACAGAGTAGACAGGAAAAAGTGTTTTTCTTTTTGTTTACCTTTGTAACACCAACAGCACGGACTTCAACAGAGCGGCTTCCTTGGACAACATCAACTGATGCATTAGAGATTGGACCTGTCCATAGGTGTTGTAACAAGTCTCTTGCTTGAAGTCTTCCGAATTCGATATCTACATGAAGAGTGAGATCACAAGTGTTTCAGGGGCGATCCAAAAGAACGAAAACAATCAGGTAAAATTGATGAAGTACCTGCATATTTGTAGTTCCATATAAGCGAAGTATCGCGTGTTTCAAAGTGTGACCTGGGGGTTCTCTCAGTGAAGTACTTGAAAACATGCTACAAATAGAAAAAGAAAAAAAAAAGTAAGAACAGAATAGAAGCTCAGTGAGTTTGAGATGCGGTATGTCTAGACAGCAGATGTACTTATACCTTTACGCTATCAACCCATTCCATGTTCAAGTGTTCTGGCATTGTCGTCATCCACTCTC